GCTGATCCAGATTCAGTTTCTCTGGTCTAGAAATCTCATTCCTTTTTTGGGAGGGGGAGGGGTATATATTTACACAGTATATATGTCAACAATACAATGATTTAAAAATACAAATCATATCCACTTTAAATCTTGTGACCTTACAGATTTTTTTTCAATAACTCCTCATCATTCCTTCCCAATTACAATAATATCAACCTATCCCATTAAGGCATTACACTGAGTATATTTTTTCAGATGATTCAAAGGCTTTTCACCATTTCTCTTTGGTTCAGTTCCTGGGTTATAATTCAATTCTGGCCTAGAAATCCTATAACAAGCTGGAAGGGAAGCTGTCTTAGAGAAAAAACCCACAGGCTAGGGAACAAAACATGTGGGCCCAGGCTATCACCTGATGAGAGCTGAGCAGCATGCTGAAGGCCACCAACTTGGCGTTCATTTCCTTGTCCTGTTCTAGACTTATGGCCCCTTCTGTGTCCACAAGAAACACAGCCACCTGGAGGGCAGAAGGGAAAGCCAGAGCATGAGGTCAGCATCATGGTCCCCTCCTCCTTCTGCCAGACTTCTGCCCTCCTTCTTCTCTCAGAACTCCTTCAATTCTTCTAACCTTTCACCTACCTGATTTCCCTCAGATTCTCTCCTCTCTTCTCTCTTTTACTTCCCCCATCCCTTATACCCACCCTCCTTTCTCTTTTCCATTCTCCACCCCTTGCTTCCTTGTTTTTTTGCCTCCCACTTTCCAGTCTCCCTATGTCTCTGTCCTGTTCTAGGCTCTTACCTTCCTTCCATCCTTCTCCAGAATGAATGGCTGGCTCCATAGCCACAAGCCCTTGGTGATGCCTTCAGCTCCTGGTTCACACTGGAATCCTGAAAGACCTCTTCCTCTTCTCATCCACTGGGGATCCTTGGAATCCTAAAGGAGGCAGAATTAATTATTTCTCCCCAGGACCCAGATATCATCTCTATGAAATCTCCCCTTTAGAACTTATTTACTCCCTTCTCAAAATCCAGGTCTAGGCCTCCTAACCCTGAGCTCCCTTCAGAAGCTTTTTGCCTCAACTCATTTCTCAGGGTTCCTGTCCTTCTCTCCCCTCCACCTGTCCAGGCCTTACCAGACCCTGCAGTCCTCGGATTAGATAGTTGAGAAGGAAAGACTTTCCTGTTCTCTGTTCCCCCTGGACAGAGATGAGACAGACTGGTCTGTTCTTGGCTTGAGGGTGATTCAGACATTGATCCAGAACCTCTAGAGAGAGGGTGAAATCCTTTCTGGAGTTAACTTGAATCAGCTGCTTTGCCTCACCATTCCAAACATCACAGGGCTTCTGAGAAAAAGAAGGAAAGGTACTGTAAATTCCTAATCTTCTTGGATCTGACCCTGGAATACCCACCTCTATTAAGTATAATGAAGGAATTCCCCATCTTCCACTCTAATCTTTCTAGATTTAACCCAAAGTTCACTACATCCTCCTGAATCAGGCAAAATGCAATTATTAAGTGCTTACTATGTGCTAGGCACTATGCTAGTCAGACCGAGAAAATCATTTTTTCCTTCCTTACATGAGACTGTGGAGCCCCAATCCCTGACCTGGTTTGAGTTTGCATTCTGCTGTAGCAAGTTCATATTCTCTACTAGACTCTGGAGCCGGGTGTCTGGAGCTAGCTGCCTCCTATCACAGCTCCTCCGGCACTCAGGGCATCGAGGTGGTTGGGAACCTGGAACACCTGAGTCCCAATGACAGGTGATGCATTTAGCACAGAAGTTATGGCCACATTCAAGGGAGACAGGATGTCGAAACAGCTCCCAGCAGATGGAACAGGTAAGGTCAGACTTCAGTAAATCCAGTGTGTCAGTTGAAGTACTTGGTGAGGGGCTTCTTGGAAGGGAGCTGGGTCTAAAAATGCAGAATAAGGTATTAGAGAGAAGGATGTCTAGATCTGGGAAGGGCTGCCAGAGCTAATGGGGAGTAGTTGGGATCTAATGGCAAGGATGTTTCATTTAAGAGAGGAGAAGTGTGAGAGGAGTGAGGACTAAATGTAGGTAGGGTATTTTGATATATAATTTCTTTTTTTAAATACCTGGGTGTATGAGTTTTTCTGTGCATCACTGTAGGAAGCATAGACTGCTAAAGACATAGGAGAGGGCGATTCTTACTCTTTTTGATCCCAGACTGATTTGTTTATTACAAAATCTTAGAATTAAAAGGAATATCATAGATTTTTCAATCTAACTTGTCACCCAGTGCAGCAATGCCCTTTAGCATCACTGTGCAAAAACTTCCAGAGGAATTTTCTACAAGTTGAGGTAGACTTTTCTCTTATTGGATAGCACCAATTTTTAGAAAGTTCCTCCTTAGATAGAGCTGAAATCTCTGCCTTACTCTAAATTTCACTGACTGGTAGTAATTTTGCCCTCTGTAAAAGGCAACAAAGAACAAGATTCTTTCTTCCCCACAATATCCTTCCAGATATTAGAAGATAACTATCATGTGCCCCCTAAATCTAGACTCCTCTAGACTATATATACCCAAATCCTTCTAATTTGGACTTGTACTTAGATATTAACCATCACTTC